GCACAGCTGACACGGGGCTCAAACTCACAAACAGTGGGATCATGACCTGAGCCAAAGTCAGATCTCAAAGGATTGAGCCACCCAGGCGCCCCTCAAAAAGGTTTTATCAAAGCAGGGAGACAGGATCCGTGGCAGTAAGACCTGCCCTGGGGTTGTGATGAGTGACTGATTATATATACTTGGGAGTTGGGGGAGATAAGGAAAAAAGGAGGCCTCCAGAAGGACTTTCATATGCTAAAGAGGAGTCAGAAGATACTGGAGGCCTTGTTATTGTCAAGGTAAGGTGGTTTTCCCTCTAGGAAGCCATTAACATTAAGACAAGACAGTTGGGAGTTTATTGGAAGACTGTTTTACTCTGCCTACCTCAAATTGGTCAGTGGGCTGCAGATTATAAAGAAATTTAATTAAAAAATTTTTTTAATGTTTATTATTTATTTTTCAGAGAAAGAGAGAGACAGAGTACAAGCACGGGAGGGACAGAGAGAGAGAGGGAGACACAGAGACTGAAGCAGAATCCAGGCTCGGAGCTGTCAGCACAGAGCCCGATGTGGGGCTCAAACTCACCAACTGCAAGATCATGACCTGAGCCGAAGTCGGACCTTAACCGACTGAGCCACCCAGGTGCCTCTGGAAAGCACTGTTTTGGTTGTGAGGAGTTTGGTAAATGATGTCCCAACCTTGGCCTTAACGTTCTTTCTGTCCTGCCCCCCTACCCCATGCCTCCACCATGACACTCTCTCTTCTCCCCCTACTTCACCTTCTTCCTTTGCCTCATAGACCCCCTAAGGCCTGTTATTTTTTGCATAAAAAATTCTTGATAAATTCTTATTTATATTCTTAATAATTTTTTTTTTTTTTTGGTACATGAGCATCCCTTTGATATTTTTTATATTAGATTTCACCCTTGGTAATGAAAGTCTCACAATGAAGAATGCATTGAACCTTTTCTTTTGTTACTATGAAGAACGGCATGTGTAGGATTTAAGTGCAAACCAGATGACCAGGCTTTGAACCTGGCCCCACCACTCACCTGCTGTGTCAGCTGGGCAAGTTGTTAACTCTCTCTGCCTCAGTTTCTTCACCTGTACAAGAGTGATAAGAACAACGCTTTTCAGAAATAATAATAGTGTTTTCACAAAACAGGTTGTTATGAGAATTAAGTGAGTTATTTGCAAAGTGTTTAGGATAGTACATATGTATCACATATGTAGTAAACATTATGGAAATATGTTCTTATTCAAAAATAAATTGGGGCCCCTGTGTGACTCAGTTGGTTAAGTGCCTGACTCTTGATTTCAGCTCAAGTCATGATCTCAAGGTTTGCGGGATCAAGCCCCGTGTTGGGCTCTGTGCTGACAGTGTGGAGCCTGCTTGGGATTTTCTCTCTCCCTCTCTCTCTCTCTGCCCCTCCTCTGCTCATGCTCACTTCTGCAGGCACTTGTGCTCTGTCTCTCTGTCCCCTACCCCCCATCTCTCAAAATAAACATTTCTTTAAAAAGTAAAAGCAAATACTCTAGGCACGTAATGTATATTTCTTTATCCGGAAAGGGCGGGGGTTTGGAAGTAGGAGGAAGGAATAAACATTGTTAAGTACCTTCTATGTGCCAGAAACCACTAAGGCACACAGGTTGCTTCACTTAATTCTCATGATAGCCTTGGGATGTCGATATTATTCCCCTTTTACAGATGAAGAAATTACGATTTGCAGAGTTTAAATTGCCCAGTGTCACGGAAGTGGTGAAGGGTGAGCTGGAATTCAAACCCAAGATGACCTGGCGTTCATGGTTTGCTTTGTTCTGTTTTTGCTGGGTCCTTCTCATCCCAACCCACTCCATGTTTATGATACCCCCTCGCACCGGCTTTCCATTTTCCAGTGAACAAAAACTGATGTACTCCGAAGTGATACAAACCAGAACTTCTCACTCCCAGGAGAACTCCCCCTAAAACTGTTAGTTTCATTTTGTTTCCCCTGCAACATGAAACAAAGAGTAATGGCATGAAAAATATGACCTGACAACATCGTTTATATTATAATTTCTCCCAAAAGATGAACTTTATCCTTAAAACAATGCCCTTTATGGCAAAAAGATTAGCTTACTTCTGTTCTATTGTTAACTGCGAAAATTACCCTTTAGTTTTTAGGGTTTGTTTGTGTTCAAAGAATTCATGAGCAAATATTTCTACAGAGAAGCAAACTCAAAGCTGGGAAGATTAATTCATAATAAGTCAAATTTTGATGCTAAAATAGTTTGATCTGAGATTACCATTGACTACAAATTGCCATCTGTGCTTACTTGTTAAAGATGTCAAGTGTAATTAATTCAGTGGACCCACTATTTGACAACCTCTGCTAAAGGGATCTGTGGAATACATACTGGATGCTAATTTTCGAATTAAACCTGCCCAGTGGTTGTTGGTTTTGTGAAAGTAACTTCTTTCCTGATTTGACCAAACCTCGAAAATCCCATAAGGGGGAAAGAAATGATCGTTCATTAAAAAAACCTACTGTGTGCCAAGCACCGTGTTAATATGTTAATATACCCACGTTAACCTTATTCATCCTCCAGGCAGTCCTATAAGGGGCAGCTATTAGCTCCTTTAGTGGGGGGGGGGGGGTAGGCACAGAATGCGTTTTTTTTTTTTTCTCAGACCCTATGAGATGTGAGAATTCTTACTCTAGCCCTTTATGTGCAAGACTCATTGTTAACATATATGTGAACATGTATGTGCAGACTGGATTTTCCCTCCTCTGTTTGAGTGGGAAGCAAAGGACAAAGAAAAAAAGGGGAATCAATTTACCACCCATGTGTTTCTTAATCACTACTAGCGGTGGAAACTCTGAAAATTCCTCGAGGGGCTTGTGTCCTTGCTTAAGGGCAAAAGGAGAGAGGCTGGTAGATTGATCTTGTTCGTGTTTCGTTAGGGAGGAGCGGCATCTTGGGTAGAAGCAGCAGGTAGTGGTAAGGAGAAGAGATTCTGGGCCGGGAGGCTGCTGCTTGTGAACAGTATCGGGAACAAGACATTGAAAAGAAGGTAAACCTGATCAAAGTCATTAATACTGAAAGAAAAGACTTGACCTAGAAAATTGACCCTGAAACTCTGTATCTCTTTCCCCAAACTTGTACCCAAGGCATTGCCCTGTTTGCTCATTTCTTGCCAGTCTTGTCAGGAGTCCTGCCGGTTGGAGCCCCTACACTAGCCTACAGAAGCCTCCTTAAGTGACCTGGGTTGGAGAAGTTCTCACCAAGGGCTGACCTCAGATGGGAGAAGGGACAGGTGAAGAGAATGTCCGTGTGCCAAAGCAGTGTGGGGATAAAACACATTTCAGACAACTGAACTTGAAACGGAATTTATTTCCCTTAATAGAACTGTAAGTGATGATGTATAGACTGCAATCTTATGGGAACTAAATTCCAGCAGGAGTTTGTGAGAAATAGGTTGTTTGTTTGTTTTTTTTTTTTTTTTTTTTGAGAGAGAGAGAGTGCAAGTGAGCAAGGGGCAGAGAGAGTGAGAGAGAGAGAGAGAGACAGACGGAGAGGGAGACAGAGGTGGGGGTGGGGAGAGAGAGACAGAGAGAGAGAGAGAAAATCCCATAAGGGGTGGTGGGGGGTGGGGGGTGAGGTGGAGAGAGAAAGACAGAAGCAGGGCTCAACTCAGGCTCCTGTTTCGTTTGTTTGTTTTACCTGAAGCAGGGCTGGTGCTCCCTGGATGTGGTACTTGAACTCACAAACTGTGAGATCATGACCTGAGCCAAAGTCAAATGCTTAACGACTGAGCCACACAGGAGCCCTGGTTGTTGCTTTTTTAATGAACAGTCTTGAAGACCTAACAACCATGAACAACAAAACGTCTCTTAAAAAAGTATCTTCCAAATTTCCTAAAAATTTACTTTTCACAAACGTATCATAAGATGGAGCTAGCTTAAAGTTGAAGAGCTAAGAGAAGGACAATCAAAAGAAGCTAACAATCTCCCCAAATAAGAATTCAACAACTGACAAATGAGATTAGAAATGGCTCACAAAAGGAGCTACTAAAATTGACCAAAATGGAGCAAAAAGCTGGCTTTACTTTGAAACAATTAAGTAATTTACAAAATATGTTAATGCTCACATTTGCTACATTGTTTACTAGCCTTTATCTCAGATAACATGCATTAACCACGAGAGAAAATGCACATTGAATCTATGAATTTGTTTTGCTGATTTATTTTCATTTAAAATTTTATGTATTTGCAGTAGACACAGATATACAAATGTGTACTACAACGTTTTTCTGAAACAAATGTATACCGTGCTAAATATCATGCCCAATTTTTTTAAATTAATAAAACAGATCAAGCCTCCTACTTTTTACAGGCTAGCAATATCTCGCTGTACTTTAACTTTTGTCGTTTGCAGGACTGTCTGCACCTGTACTAAGTGGGGGTGTTCTTCTGTATTTTTGTATCTGGACTTCTGCACTTTTTATTGGACGTTTAATTTTCGTATAGTCACATACTAAAAGGAAAAAAAAAAAACCCTGTGCTTACCTTCTAGGCAAGGTATGGTAGCTATGGAAATGCTTGTTGTTTCTTTAATATTTTTCTACATAATTGGATCTATTTTAGCAGTCTGAGTTATTGCAGCTATTATAAACCGAACAATGGAGGAAGGCCAATTATTCCAAAGCTGCACTTAATGGCCGCTCGCCTAGCACAGATATCTCTCTTCAAAATCAACTGCAGTGCAACATGCATTTTCTGAGGAATTCAAGAGGCAGGCTCATCAACACTGTTTTTTTTATCTTTTTATTTTTTAATGTTTATTTATTTTTGACAGAGAGAGAGAGAGACAGCATGAGCAGGGGAGGGGCAGAGAGAGAGGGAGACACAGAATCCAAAGCAGGCTCCAGGCTCCGAGCTGTCAGCACGGAGCCTGACGCGGGGCTCGAACCCACAGACCGTGAGATCGAGACCTGAGCGGAAGTCAGACATTCAACCCACTGAGCCATCCAGGCGCCCCCACCAACACTGTTAAAGAGCATCATTTTGAAGTCTAGTGGCAGACGTTAAGAATCTTGGAGCATCTGTAGCGTTACCTGCTTCTTAGAGTTCTTGGCCAGTTGTACTCTTAACTATTAAAAAAAAAATGCGGATTGGTGGTTAGGAACTATATCAAATAATTTTGTTCATAAAATCTTCTATATGAGCAAGACATAGTTCTCCTATGTCCTGTGTACTCAATATAGATGTGTTTTCCCAAATTAGCTTCAATACTGGCTTGAGGAAACAGCCGCAAGCATTCAGGGAAAGATGTCAAGGTGAAAATCCAGGTGAAAGGTACCAGTTGAAAGAGACTGGGAAATTGGGTAAGAAACTCAGTTTGGAAATGGCAAGTGAAGACCGTAAACTCCTAATATGGCCTCTGTGGGTCCAAGAGTGATGTCACTAAAGCAAACCTGGCCCCTAAGAGCCCCCAGGCTATTTGACTGACTCCTCTTTGCCTTAAGAAAAATAGTGACTGCAGGGATGCTCGTTTTTAGCACCTTCCCAGTTTATGTGATTCCCTCATTAGTGCTCACCTCAACGACTTGCTTCAGTTTCCTGAGTGCTTGGGATCCCTTCCTCCTCACACCCTCCCAGGCCAGTGCCCCACATCACCAATCTTTCCTGACTCATCCCCCTCAAAGTATATCTGCTTGTATTCAGTTCCCTCAGGGGCATGTCTCCCACAGAGGTTGCATAGCATGATTTGGGAATCAGATAGGCCTGGGATCAAATTCTGGCTTGGATACTTACTAACTGTAAGAACTTGGGTGAAGTATTTAACTCTTTTGAGCATCAGTGTGTTCATAAGTAAAATGGGTATAACAATAGGACCTCCTAATAAGGTTGTTGTGAGGAGTAAAACACATAGTGTATTTGAAGGGGCTAATATGATAACGTGAAAAACAGCAGGGCCCAGTAAATGGAAGCTAGCATAACTGATTTGGTAATTGACAGTAAAAAGGAAAAAAAGAGTTTCACATTAATGAAAAATCTCAGAAAGGATGTACAAATACTCTATAAAGATTGTTAAAACCTTATTGGGAGAAATTAAGGAATATCTAAATAAATGGGGTGATATGCCATGTACATGGATTAAAGGAGTCAATATACTAAAGATTTAAACTTTTCCCAAATCAAACTACATATTCAACGCAATCCTGATAAAAATCTCAATAGAATGGTTACCATATTGACCAGCTGATACTGAAGTTTATAAAGAAATTTTTTAAAATCCCAAGAATATTCAAGACACTCTTGCAGTAGAGTAACAAGGAGAGAGGATTTATTCTGCCAAATATTAAGACTTGTGAAGCTACAGCAATCATGACTTTGTGGTATTGTTACAGATAAATAGCCCCAAGGAAGAGAATAGGGATAGCTAAAACAGGCTCATGTAAATTTTGATATGATATATGACAAAGGAGATGTTCCAGGACAGTTGGGGAAATGATTGTCTTCTCATTAAATGATGCCAAGATAACTAGGTATCTAAGTGGGAAAAGAATGAACCCGGACCCCTTCCTCACACCATATACAGAAATCAACTCCAAGTGGGTTACAAACTTAAATGTGAAAGAAAAAATGGAAAGTGTTTATATATTTATAAACATCTCCAGGGCATTGGGCAACATTTTAAAATGAGATAGACAGAGATGAGATTAGGGCACCTGGGTGACTCAGTCGGTTAATCATGACTCTTGATTTCAGTTCAGGTCATGATTTCATAGTTTGTGAGACTGAGCCCCACAGTGGGCTCTGTGCTGACAGTGCAGAGCCTGCTTGGGATTCTCTCTCTCCCTCTCTCTCTGCCCCTCCCCTGCTCACTTGTGTGCTCTGTCTCTCTTTCTCAGAATAAATACATAAACTTAAAAAAGAGAATATTAAAATGACATTAAAGTAATTAAACTCATGAAAAGACACCTCTTTGAAGAGTGTGGAAATACAAGCCACAGAATGAGATGACATTTGCAACACATAATCCACAAAGAACTATATCCACAAGTCAGTTAGAAAAAGATCGACAACCCAATGAGCCAAAAGGAAATCCAGATGACTGATAAGAATAAGCAAAGATGCTTAAGCTCACTAATTATCAGGAAGCACAAGCTAAGTCGTACTGAGAACAGAAAGCCAATGTCACACACACCAAGAGTGGCAAAATAAAAAAATGTGATACAAACAAGTGTTGGCTAGGATGTGGAGGAATGAGAGCTTTCGCGCACTGTTAGTGGGAGTAGAAATTAGTGTGATTACTTTGGAATACAGTTTGCATTTTCCAATGAAATGGGAGCTCCACAGAACTCAGGACGCAGCAGTCCTATTCCTGGGTATATCCCTAGAGAAATGCATGCATTTGCATATCAGGAGACATGTGTAAGAATGTTCTAACCAGAATTTTGATAATAGTCTGAAGCTGTAAATGAACCAAATGTCCATTAACAGTAAAGTGGCCATAACCATGAAGCGGATGAATAAATTGTGGTATGTACATGAGTATGCTGAAATTCTTTCAACGATGTAAAAAAAATTAGAGCTTTTCTGGGGGGAAGGATCTTACAAACACAATGTTGAGCACAAGAAGTGGAGCACATAAGAATGTCCACAGTATATTTTTAATATATGTAAAATTGAAAAATAAGAGAAACCATACTTCCTAAGGGATAAAATTATAAAGGAAAACTATGACAGCTGGGACAGAACTGCCATAAGAATCATGGCAGTGGTTACCTCTAAAAAGAGACAGAGGGTCTCAATGAGGAGGGTACAGACTGGGGGCTTAGAGGAGCAACCAATATTTCATTTTATATCTTGGACTTTGATGCCCAGCACATATACCACATAATCATACATCACACTGTATGTGTGAATTCTTTTTCCATCCTTCTGTATGTGTACCATATACCAAAATTATATATATATATACACACACACACACACACACACACACACACATACACACCCACACCAGAAAGAGAATCATGTTGGTATTATTTTAGATTCCAAAATAAAGCAGTTACTATTCAGCCCCTGTGCTTTGAAACACAAAACCCGTGTCACGCTGACATCTTGAGCAGCCTTCCAAGTGTCATTGACGGGCTGTATTTAATGTTAATAAGATAACGTAAATGAAAAACTTGCTATGTCCCAGGCAATGTGCTAAGGGTCTAGTACACGTTAGCTAGTCCTCAGTCAACACTGAGACACCGTCATTTAGCGCAAAATCTTTTTTTTTTTTTAATGTTTATTTTTGAGACGATGCAAGAGACAGAATGCAAGCAGCAGGGGGGCAGACAGAGGGAGACACAGAATCTGAAGCAGGCTCCAGGCTCTGAGCTGTCAGCACAGAGCCCGACGCGGGGCTCGAACTCACGGACTGTGAGATCATGACCTGAGCCAAAGTCGGACACTCAACCGACTGAGCCACTCAGGCACCCCTCGGTGCAAAATCTTGAACAGAACTAGACTGCTACTTCACAGCCATGGTTCCTAAGGTGTGGCATTCACTCATCCCACAGACATCTGGGTGCCTAGCTCCACCCTGGGCGGTGGTCACACAGAGGAAAAGGACACCAGCCCTGCCCTCAGGGAGCTTCTGGTTCAGGAAGAGAGTCACATAAGGAAACAAGTAAACAAAGTCGGTAGTTTATGGGAGCTCTAAAATGGGGTGGGGACAAATAAAGCTGGAAGAAAATAGGCAAAGGTAAGAGAAACTGTTTTAACCAGAGCCTTTTAGCCAACCAACCTATCCTTCTTTACGACCTGTTCCTTTACTCGTCTCTAACTACTTTAAAGTTAACTCTGTCTTATCACTTGTTTTCTCACTGGACTCCAAGTTTGTCTATTCTTTCTCTTAAAAAGTACCATTCTCCTGGATTCCCCTCTCCCCACCCTCCTGCCTCTCTTCCCAGCTCCCTTCCTCTCCTCCCCACCTCTTTCCCTCTCCTCTCCCTCTTCCTCCTCTCACCCTCTTTTGGCTTCCTAAATCAGAACTCTCCTTTAATGTCTCGATCAAATGTGCCTTTCTCTGTAAACCTCCTGATACCCCCACTTCCAACCCCGGCATTAGAAGTGAGCATTCCCTTTCTGATATCCTTCCACATTTTATTTATGCGATTTTTGCAGTCTATAGTATATGTGATTTTGTATTATAATTATTTGTGCGCATATTTTGTCTTCCCTGCCAGAGTGCAAGCTCCTTCAGCCCCGAGACCATGATTAATTTTGCTTTGTGATTGTCCACAGCCTTGCCGAATAGAAATGGGCACTTAACCAGAGCTTGGAGGTGTTTGAAAGCAACCTGACCAGGTTTTTGGAGGTTGGATGGATCTTTTGGAACAACGGTGTCATGAATTATATAATAACAGCAACTTCTAGTACTTTAACATGGTAAGACATTTTAAGCTGGGTTGAATGGAATCAACAAAGAAAGATGCTATCTACAAGCCAAACACTACTGTTGTATTTTCTCCTTTTGCAAGAACAATCATTTATGAGGAAACATAGCTAAGTTTTCAGATGTATAGAATATGGAAAGGATGGCTTATCACCCATAGATCAATTCCACCACGTTCATGAATTCTACCATCAGGAATTCAGAGCATAAAAGGTATAAAATGCCATGTTACCTCATATTGACAATTGTTTCATTTTTGCTTAATGATATTGAATAAAATCATTAAAATCTTTTCAATGTTTTGGTTTGGAAATTTCTTCTACTTTTGTTTCTTAGTGCAGCATCTCTTGTCATTTCTTTATTGCAGCTTTCACTGTGATCTTCTCTCTTGGAAAACATTTTCAGCTACCAGACCAATAGAGCAGGTAGGACATTTGATGAAAATCTGTGAAAGTTTGGTTATTCTCAGAGAACTTTCCTTGAAATTTCTTTATGTTTTGAAATGGTGAATGTTACGTGATCCCTAGGGAACCCCACTGCATAGCTACCTAGAAGTTCAGTTTAAAATACTCAAGTTGGGGTGCCTAGGTGGCTCAGTCGGTTGGGCGTCTGACTTCAGGTCAGGTCATGATCTCGCGGTCCATGAGTTCGAGACCCGCGTCAGGTTCTGTGCTGACAGCTCAGAGCCTGGAGCCTGTTTCAGATTCTGTGTCTCCCTTTCTCTCTGCCCCTCCCCTGTTCATGCTCTGTCTCAAAAATAAATAAACTTTAAAAAAATTAAAAAATAAAATAAAATAAAATACAATAACATACTCAAGTTAAGCACATTGGACGCTACATCCAAAAGAGAATGAATCACAGAAAAAATATAGTTTTGAATGCAGGGCAACGAGACGCTAGCCTCAATTCCAAATTCCTCCTCTCCCTGACAGTGTCTGGGTACAGTTTGCACACTCTCTCTGTGACCACTTGAGTTACCGCTGAAGCTTATCTGATCTTCCCTTCCCCCGTCTCTTGACAGGTACGGCTGTTGTCCTCGGGACAACATAGACCAAAATTGGCTTCTGTCTGTTGGTTGTGCTATTGCCAGGGACACACTTGGGGTGCCTAGTCATTGGGGATTTAATGCAAGGAAGTACAAAGAGAGAAGAAGGACAGACAGCAACCACAGTTCTTTTGCCTCACGGAGAAAAGGAACATTTTTAAGATGCAACATCAGTCTACAGTGGCTGTCCCTGCAGCAGCGGGTGTTGAGTGCTTTGTATACTTTCTGCAGTGGTCTCCAGTGTTTTTAATCATTCAGCAGGGGAAAAAATTGAACACGCTCTTCCCGATATATGTATTTTTAAAATGTACACAAATAATAACAATGAAGAAACAATGAGATAAAGAAATGTGAATAGGTGTTCCGATATTTTCTTGTGATGCCACAGTGATCCTCTCGTAAACTTCATCTTGGACATCCTTGCTTGGTTCGGGTGAACGCCACGGTTAGGGCGTCTCAGCTATGATCTGCCTCTTTTGCGGCCCCTGCAGCTAGTAAGGAGCTTCCTTCTGTGTTAGGACTTCTCCTTACTGTGGTCTCTGTGTCTCTCCACTTTTGCCCTGCCCCCTTTGGCTCTGATTCCGTCTGTACGTGTCACGTACAAACTTCATAAGGAACAGACCCAGTGAGGCCCGTCAATCACCCTTCTGTGTGGAGCTGTCTTGGCAGGGCTTTCTTGCCAGGCTCCAGGAGAACTGCTGACCGGCCTAGAAAACTGAGTTGTGTGTTTGGCACTGGTCCAGCCATCTACCAGCATCAGTGTTATATTTTAGTATGACAGTCATAGATGTGGAGGGGGCCATGGGTGTGACGGTGGCTGATGGGGACCAGGCACGGTTCCGCACGAGGTGGTGACACCCCTCCCCTCAGAGCCAGTCTTCTGTGGGTCGCTGCTAGGGTTGTTGGTTACAGATCTTGATTTAATTCTTCTTTTCTTATCCTCTCCAAACACCCCCGAGCCCCTCCATTTCAGAGCCACAATTTATTTACTAAGCCCACAGTGGGAAGACCCTGCTACTTTTGTTTTCTAATGTCCTCAGTAAAGAAACCCTTTTGTTTTTAAGTTTTTATTTTTATTTTTATTCATTTTTTGAGGGAGATAGAGACAGAGTGAGCAAGCGGAGGAGAGACAGAGAGAGAGAGGGAGACAAAGAAACCTGAGCAGGCTCCGTGCTATCAGTGCAAAGCCTGATGCGGGGCTCAGCTCACGAACTGAAAGATCGTGACCTGAGCCGAAACCAGGATTCGGATGCTTAACTGACCGAGCCACCCAGGAGCCCCAAGAAACAGTTTTATTTTTAAGTTTATTTTATTTGGGGGGGGGGGAGAGGCAGAGAGAGAGGGAGAGAGAGAGAATCTCAAGCAGGATCCATGCTGTCAGCATGGAGCCCAACACGGGGGCGTAAGGGGGGGGGGCTCAGACTCATGAACCGTAAGATCATGATCTGAGCCCAAATCAAGAGTCAGGTGCTTAAGTGACTAAGTCCCAAGAAAGATCCATTTAACCCACTCTTTGGTAGTAAAAGTCCCTGTACTGAAGGAGATAATGAGTTTTCAGGACAGTCTGGCACATCTCAGGGTGAGTCCTGTTTGTACATTGAATCCTTCCCAGGAAGCATAGGGGTGATTTTTTTTTTGCCCACCTCTTCCATCATGTTGGAGAATTTTAAATCTAGAACCAGCCGATAGCAATCATTCATCTGTGTTCTCTTCTGTCCTGTGGCCTATGGATGTTTGTCCAACCTATATCCATGACACTGGGCACAACATGCTTATGTGTCCTATGTGCTCTGGGAGCCAAGAAAATGATGCTACTTTGGGGCCCCACTCCACCTGTGTGAAGCAGCATAGAATGAAGGCAAGAGCAGGGGCTTTGTAGCCAGACCACCTGGGTCCACAATCCAAGGTTGGCCACATATTCATGCTATAACGTGAACAAATAACTTCATCTCTTTGTATCTTGGTCTTCTTCTCTGTAAAACAACAGTAATAATGGTACTTGCCTCAGGATTATTGTGAGGGCTAGTTGAGTTAGTATATAAATTCTTATTATAGTTAGCATTCAGTAAATTCAGGTTCTTATTATCTAAAAGGAATAATATACAGTTAACCCTTGAACAACCCACGGGTTAGGGGCATAGATCCCCTGTGCTGTCAGAAATCCACATATCATTTCTGGTTCCCCTCAAACTTAACTACTTGTAGCCTACCACTGACCGGAAGCCTTACCGAGAGCATAAACGGTTGATTAACACATATTTTGTACATTACATGTATTATATGCTGCATTCTTACAATAAAGTAAGCTAAAGTAAAGGAAAAGTTATTATGAAAATTATCAGGAGGAGAAAATACGTTTACAGGGCTGTTGTGTATTTATCGAAAAAAAGATCCATGTATCTAAGCGGGCCCACGGAGTTCAAACGCATGTTGTTCAAAGGTCAACGGTACTTTTCTGTGATTTTTCAGACTAGTGGGGGACTTATTACACTTCTTGGTGGAACAACTGAAGATACACAAAGTGGAAGGATGGGTTTCATTACCCGTGAAATGCAGGCACAGCCAGCCTGTGTCCATCTCGTTCACCGCTCTGTCCTCAGTGCCGAGCCCCATCCCTGATGCAATGTAGACGCTCAATGCATATTGGCTACTGGGTTAGAAAATGTCAGAAAATATAATTACATAAAAGTGAGTGTTCTTGAAGGGATTTTAATGCGTTTTTATTTGTTAAAAGAGAACGAGGTGATGTTCATGGCCTCTAGGAGCACGCAGCAATGATCATTTCTGCTTATGGAAGGACCTCGCCCTCCCCCAGCCAGTTGCCTTATGTACTTTTCATAAAATCCTCAGAGGTGGGTATCAGTGATCACGTTGTCCGTGGAAAACTGATCCTCCCAGGATTTATGACCTTCACCGAGGTCACAGGGCATTCAGTGGCAGAAAGAGGACTCGAAGCAGGGCCACATGGAGATTTCTGAAGTCCGTCCTCTTTCTGCTGCTCTCTTTTCACAGCGGCGAGGACGGCTCAGACGACCCCTGTCCAGTACCTCAAGTGTCTAGAAACTTGAGAGTGAAGAACCAGTGAGGGATGTAGAGATCCCAGGCTCCTTAGAGGGTCACTTAAACCACCTGCTATCACTCAGTTCCTAAACTGGTCATCGGAAACTGCTGTTTACCTGATTGGAATTAAGAGACAGACAAATGACTGTACTAAATGCAAATGCCTGATGAAGTTTCTTGTTGGATATTTCTCATTTAAAATTCAGAATATACTTGATGTATTATGCAAGAAGGATCAGGAACTCAAAGATATATATATTTGGGAGCCAGGGGGAAACTTGCAGAGAGTGTGGAATGGGGCAATTAATTTCAACCTTTTGCTATCATCTGCAAAAGGAGTTAAGGCCTACTTACCTTCTAAACCAAAGGGGAATTCTCAGGAAGCATTATTTAATGCGTAAAAATAAGTTTTTAAATAATTAAGATAAATGCTAAAAATAGCGAAGCAATAAACCTCTTTTAAATATTTTACAATAGTATATTGCGAACATGACTTACATTCAGACTGTGTCCTGATTTGGATATTTTGTGTTTCTACAGTTTGCTCTGTAGATCACTAATCAAAATTAAATAGTGACTGTGCCTAATTATGATGATAAGTTTTCACAGGCTGCAAGGAGAATGACAATTTTAGAAATAAATGCTTTTGTTCTGAATGAATTCACTCTGAAATAATTTGTTGCTTAGATGAGTAATTTGTTGAGATAGTTATGATAGAAGGGGTTCCAAATGGAAGTAATGAGATGAAATGGAACAGCAAAAAACTCGGGAAAATATCAAGAAAACATAAGGTTTTAAACACATAAAGTGGGTGAAAACCTTCTTGGTGAACAGGTAAAAGTCCTGGGTATTTATATTAGCTAAACCCCAACATGATTATGAGGCTGTTTGTTCAGCAGTAAATATCCCTAAATACCATTTAAGAGTATTATCAAACACACTTTTAATGTTATCTCTTAGATCTTGAGCACGTTAGACTTCGGTGTCTGGGAGTAAACAGGTAATTATTCCACACAGTAATTTTCTTTACAAGTATAAATTGTCTTATTCTATCTACTGGAAGGGATGGGGATTTTTATCTTGAACTATCACCTGATCTGTTGTGGGACTGTAGAACCGAAGGCAGGAAACTTGACCTTTCTGGGTGATCCCGCTCAACGTTCTCTCGTTGGGAATCTTTAAGCGACGGAAACACAAATACTTCCAACCCAGATAACAATACGGCCGTATTCGACCTACCTGGGTGTTTTTCTGGGTATCAGAAATTTTGCTACATGCCCCAGAAGTTCTGCAGAGCAGCCAAGATGGAAAACTACCTCCAGAACAGCTGAGATCTACATCCCATTTCTTACCTGCGGTACAAATCTGTCTCTACTCTTCTGACTCTAGTGAGTGTCTGATGACTGCCTTTGTGATTTTGCCTGAACTCGAGGAAAATGGCCTATAAAACCTCTACCAAGGTTCTTCACTGTGATGGTTATTATTTTTTTAAGTTTATTTATTTTGAGAGAGAGAGAGAAAGCACAAGCAGGGAGCGGTAGAGAGAGAGAGAGAGAGAGGGAGAGAATCCCAAGCAGGCTCTGCACTGTCAGAGCAGAGCCCCGTTTGGGTCTTGAACTCACGAACCTCGAGATCATGACCTGAGCTGAAATCACGAGTTGGTTATAACCCTTAACCGACTGAGCCACCCAGGAGCCCCTGTGATGGTTGATTTTTATGTGTTAATTTGAGTGGGCCATGGCTGTCCAGATTAGATGTTATTCCTAGGCGTGTCTGTGAGGGTGCCTTTAAACCAGTGGATTCAGTAAAGTAGATTGTCCTTCTTAAGTGGTTGGGCCTTATCCAGTCTGTTGAGGAACTGAAAAGAACAGAAGGCAGAGGAAGGAGGAATGTGTCCCCTTTTTTCCCAGCCTCACAGATTGAGCTGGGGCACCTCGTCTCATATTCTCCTGCTTTCCGAGTAGGATTTATCTCGTTGGCTCTCCTGACTCTCAAGACTTTGGACTAGGCTGAATTACACCACTAGCTTTCCTGAGTCTCTGGCTTACAGGTTCCATGTCGTGGAACTTACTAGCCTTAATAATTACATAAGCCAATTCTTCCTTCAATTTATCGTCTATTGCTTCTACATCTCTGGAGAACCCTAGCTAATTCAGTAACACTTTTCAATTCATTGACGCCTTGGAGAATCTGATAACAGCAACAAACCCTCTTCCAGCAAAATGCACATTATCATGGATATAATTCGAGCATGCTTTAGAACCCCAAAATTCCACCCCTAAACACCAAAATTAAAGTCCCTATCTTACTTAGATAATGCCTGAAACCAGATGCCCCATTCTTATCTAACTGGAGCTGTAGCCTCTGAAGCCTATACTTGAGCCCAGGAGGCTGGGAAATTGTCATGTCCTTTCCCAAAGAAGCAAGAAGGACCACTTCTGAAGCCTGAGGCTCAACTTCACTGATGTGGCTGTTTAGATATTATCTGAAACCCTAGCTAGAGGTACAAACACAAAAATATAATTCAACACCAGCACAGAATGCTGAACATGCAGCCTCATAAGTGTTATATAAAAATGCAATGGGGTGAATTGCTTTGGTCTGGCTATCAGAACCAATCTTAGCAGCAGAGCAGATGGAATGAACTTGATCGGGTTATTGGGTCTCACCCCTGCAGCTGGGAGAGAGTGGATGGAGACTGCGGGGGCCACTGTGGAAACAGCCACAAAGCCAACACGTGTTCTCTGTGGTTATCCTGCCGCAGCTCGAGGGCATGCCAGATTCGCTGTAGAACCTCCCACCACATGCTCTGGGAGCTCGTGACTCCCCTGAGATGGCCACATCTCTAAAGTGTTCGTCATCTGTCAGGAATCTCAATGTCTGCATCTACTTTCAAGCACTTTTTAAAATTGTTTCTCCATTATCGAAGGGCTTAGCTTTTCCCCTAAAATTTAAGAAACCGTATGCTCAGTACATACAGGTTTGTCATATGCTGATCTGGATGCAGTTTATTATTGAGCAAGAAACATTTGAAACTGAATTGTTTTATTTCCTCTAGTTTTATTTCCTCCTCTTAGTTCCTCTAAGTAGTCGTCTGAACTGAGACTTTTTTCTCCCCTTGTAAAGAAGAAACAATGTCATCTTTAATCCAAACCAAAAAAAACCAAAAAAAAAAAAAAAAAAGAAAAAAGAAAAAAAAAGCTCATCAGTCCGTTTATTTCAAGCATTTAGTTTTTAGTTTTTTGTCTACCTTTCTGGTTGGCCGTGCTCAAAGTCAGAAAATCCAGCTGAAATGAATGATAACCTAAAAGACATTGGCTCCAAAAGAGAAACTCTGTTTAGATCATTAACTTTAGTAGATACTGAAAAGTAGGCAAATATCAACACCTGTCAAAAGGCAATACATCCAGGGGCGCCTGGGTGGCGCAGTCGGTTAAGCGTCCGACTTCTGCCAGGTCACGATCTCGCGGTCCGGGAGTTCAAGCCCCGCGTCAGGCTCTGGGCTGATGGCTCGGAGCCTGGAGCCTGTTTCCGATTCTGTGTCTCCCTCTCTCTCTCTGCCCCTCCCCCGTTCATGCTCTGTCTCTCTCTGTCCCAAAAATAAATAAACGTTGAAAAAAAAAAAAAGGCAATACATCCAGTTTATGGATGAATTCTGCAAAACTGTCAAGTAATGGGTAATTAATACTTTAAACTATTGAAGAGTATTAAAAAAGAAAAGGAAAGACTTCCTTATTTACTCAGTATAGCTAGCATAAACCTGATTTCAAAATTGGACAGGCATGGCACTCAAATAAAGGGAATTACAATCCAATTTGAAAATATAGGTGCAAATACAGAGATAAAACCTTAAGAAATCAAATCCAGTGGGATCTGGGAGCTAGGGGGAAAATTGCAGAGAGTGTGGAGCAGGGCAATTAATTTCAACCTTTTGTCATCATCTGCAAAAGGAGTGAATGCCTGCTTACCTTCTACCAAAGGGCAAATCTCAGGAAGCATTATTTAATGCGTCAAACTAGGTTTTTAAAAAAAATTTTTTTTCAACGTTTATTTATTTTTTGGGACAGAGAGAGACAGAGCATGAACGGGGGAGGGGCAGAGAGAGAGGGAGACACAGAATCGGAAACAGGCTCCAGGCTCCGAGCCATCAGCCCAGAGCCCGACGCGGGGCTCGAACTCACGGACCGCGAGATCGTGACCTGGCTGAAGTCGGACGCTCAACCAACTGCGCCACCCAGGCGCCCCCAAACTAGGTTTTTAAATAATGAAAGTAAATGCTAAAAGTAGTTAGGCAATAAACCTCTTTTAAATATTTTACCATAGTATATTGCAAACATGGGTATGCATTTGGGAAAATTGCATGATGACCAAGTAGGTTTCATCTCCTGCATACAAAGGTGGTTCAATACCAGGATATCCATTAAGCTAATTGACTACATAACACATGAAAAGAGAGACCAAATTCCTAGATGGGAATATCCAATGTTATAAAGATATCACATCTACCTCAAATTTGTTGATTAATAAATATAACACTAATCAAATTCCGTCAGAATTTTTGTTAGAAATCGGAATTTTATTCTCAATATCACATGATAGAGAAAAATGCCTAACAGTCACAGAGACATTAGTGAAAAAGCACAGAGAAAAGGGTGGATCTTCCCTGCTGTCAGGAGGACATAGTTAATGAAGCTAGTAAGTAAAACAGAGAGGCAGTGCATGGAAGCACAGGGGTCCTAAGCCAGAGTCCTGCCATAAACACGGGGATTTTGCTTTGGTATAGGTAGCATTTCGAGCATGAAATAAAGGGTAAGCAATTTAATAAACGGCTACTGGATAATCTCTCACTCATTAGAAACAATGCAGAGCTACAACCACCATAAAGTTCATACATTTACAAGTGAGGTATTTAAGAATGGAAACAAAATCCCTGTTGCAAGGCAACTTGTCACTCTCCATAAAAATGAGAAAAGAAAATTACAAAGCAAAATTCTAAAATCATTAGAAGGAAATATAGGAACATGTGTTGATGATATTGAGTTGAGGGAGGCCTTCCTAGACAAGACAACATTTGAGAAGCACAACGTTAAATCAGACAGTCTCTTTTTTTTTTTTAAAGTTTTTAAATTTATTGGGGGGGGGGTGGTGCAGAGAGAGAGGGAAAGAGAGAATCTCAAGCAAGTTCTACGCAGTCAGTGCAGAGTCCAGTGTGGGGCTTGATCTAATGAGACCATGAGATCATGACCTGAGCCAAAATCAAGAGTCAGATGCTTAACCAACTGAGTCACCTGGGCACCCCTCTTTTAAAAAAATGATATAAAAAAGACAGTCTAAGCGGAATTAAAATAGAAGCAATAAGACTGAGAAATTGTTTACACCATATTTAATAGGTAATGATTACTCTCCAGAAAACGTAAAGAGAATATATAAATCAATTTTAAAAAGTCAAAATAGTTGAAAGATATGAATAAACAATTCATGGAAGTGGAAATCAAAAGGGGCACATGAGAAGATTCTTAATGTCAAAGGTAATTAAGGAAATACAGATAAAACTTTAAAATATATTTTAACTGTCCAACTGTCAAGATCAGAGAAAATGTTTATCTGCATTATTTGGTAAGGATGCAGAAAAATATATATTTCTATAAACTTTAGGTGAAAGTGTAACTTGAGATAGCCTTTCTGGAAATCAATTTGCCACTTATATAAATGATAGAAAGTTCCTATGATTTGGCCTACCCATTCTGTTTCTGGGATTCAAGTCTTTGGAAATATTTACACTTAAGTCTAGAAGTATATGGACAAAGATTTTCCAGCATTGCTTTTCAGCATAACGAATTGGAAATAATCTAAATCTTCATCAAAACATGGTATTTCTGCTAGTGAATAATACACAACCTTTAAAAATAATACTGGAAAATCATAAAGTCACAAAATATATAGCCAGTAGATCCCATTTATAAATCTTCCATCAACTAATTGGGTGTGTGTGTGTGTGTGTGTGTGTATCTGGATGGGTCAGTGTCTGTGTACAAATTCATAGGAAAAGTTTAGGAAGGATCTACCAAGTGTTGACGACCAACGTTATGCCATTTATTTCTATTTCACTTCAGTGTTTTGCAACAAGAGTATATCATATATTGAGTAATAAAAACAGAAAAATAAAATAACATGATATGAAGAATTTTAATGACATCACATAGCATGATGACCATGAATTCCCACTGCCCACCCTTCTCTACTTGAACAAGTAGCTACTCTTGACTACCTGTCAGGAAAACAAGAGTGATTAATCTTCCTCTACATGACAAAATCTTTCCATTGAGCACCACAGTACAAGATGAGATTTTTTTCACAGAGTGAAAGGTAAGACATGAACTAGGAGAAAATATTCACAATGCATATATTTGACTAAGGACTTGTATCCAGAATCAATTAAAAAGTTAAATGGAAAAGTCCTACTAATCAATAAGGTAGAATACCAAATTAGAAATAAATGACAGAAGCACATCTGGAATGATAGATTAAAGATCTCAAAAAACCCACTCCTCCATAGAAGCAGGCAAAACACTGATAAAAATGGCTAAAAGTACACTTCTTTCAGAACTCAGGAAAGTAATTAAAGGCTTACAACAATCCAAGGAGCTTCCAAAGACATCACAAAAAAGAAAATTACAGACCAATATACCTTATAATATTGACATAAAGTCCTCAAGAAAATATAAAGAAACATATAAAATTAAACATAAAAAAAGTAAAATAAAAGCAAGACATAAAAAGAATTGTAGAGGCACTTGGGTGCCCTGTAGTTGGCACTCCATTTGGTTGAGTGTCAACTCTTGATTTTCCCTCAGGTCATGATCTCATGGTTGTGAGATTGAGTCCTGTGCTGGGTTCCATGCTGAGGGTGGAGCCTGCTTAAGATTCTCTCTCTCTCTCTCTCTCTCTCTCTCTCTCTCTCTCTCTCTCTCCATTTGTCCCTCTCACTCATGTGCTCTCTTTCTCTCTCTCTAAAAAAAAAAAAAAAAAAATTGCAGACAATGACTAAGTGGGTTGATCCCTGGAATATAAGGTTGATTTAACCAACAAAACTCAACCAGTATAATACATCAAATTAATACAATAAAAGACCAAGAATCACATGATCTTAATAGAAGCAAAAAAAATTTTTTTTTTACAAAGTACAATGGCTTTTCATGATAGAAACACTCAAACACTCAACAAACTAGGAGTAGAAGGAAATTTCCTGAAATTGATAAAGGTCTTCTATGAAAAACCCACAGCTTAACACTTAATGGTGAAAAACTGATTTTTTTCTCCTTCAAATCAGGAACAAGACAAGAACATCCACATTCATCACTTCCATCTAACACTGTATTAAAGGTTCTAGCCTGCATTTAGGTAAGAAATGAGATAAAAGACATCAAGACCAGAATGGAAAAATAAAACCATCTCTGCACACAGATGACACAAGCCTACATAGAGAAAATCCTAAGGAGTTGCACACACACAAATGTTAGTATTAGTAAACAGGTCAGCCCAGTTGCAAGATACAAGATATAGAATCAATATGCAAAAGTCGACTGTATTTCTATTTGTTAGCAATGAGGAGTCTGACAATGAAATTAAGACAATTCCCTTTACAAAAGAATGAAATACTTAGGAATAAACTTAACAGAAGAAATGCAATATTTGTGCTGTCAAAACTCAAAATCTTGTTGAAAGAAATTGAGGAAGACTTAAATAAGTAGAAAGACACCCTATGTTTATGGGTTAGAAGTTTTAATGTTAAGATGGCAATACTCCCCAAACTAATCTACAGATTCAACACAATTCCTATCAAAATCCCAGCTGAATGTTTCCAGGAATTACCAAACTAATCCTAAAAGTCAGATGGAAATGCCAGGGATCTAGAATAGCCAAAACAATCTTTAAAAAGTTGGAGGACTCGTACTTCCTGATTTCAAAACTGACTACACTACTACTATAATCAAGAAAATGGGGCTATAGCCTAAGGATAGGCATATGGATTAACAGAATAAATTGACAGCACAGAAATAAACCCTTATGTTCACGGTCAATCAATTTGCAATAAGGATACTAAGAATATTCAACAGAGAAAGAACAGTTTTTTCAACAATTGGTGTTGTAGCAACTGTATATCCATAAACAAAATAATGAACTTTGGATCCCTACTCTGCCATATACAAAAATTAATTCACAACGGATCATAGGCATACATGTAAGAACTAAAACTTCAAGACTTACAAGAAAACTTGAGAGTAAATTAAAAAAAATTTTTGTTAATGTTTATTCATTTCTGAGGGACAGAGAGAGAGCACAAGTGGGGGAAGGGCAGAGAGAGAAGGAGACACAGAATCTGAAGTAGGCTCCAGGCTCTGAGCTGTCAGCACAGAGCCCAACGCAGGGCTTGAACCCACAAACCGTGAGATCATGACATGAGCTGAAGTTGGACGCTTAACTGACTGAGCCACCAGGAGTCTTACAATCTTAAATCATGCAGTGGTTTCTTAGGTATGATACCAACAGCACAGATGACAAAAGGAAGACTAAATAAACTGAGCTACACAAAAATGAAGAACTTGCGTGTGTCAAAGGACACTATCAAAAAGTGAAGACAACCCACAGAACAGGAGAAAAAGACTTGCCAATCATTTATCTGTCGAGGTTAATGTATTGAGAATACACAGACATCTTTTGTAACTCAACAATGAAAAGAAAAATGGCCCCAGTTAAACATTAAAGAATTTGAATAGGCATTTCTCTCAAGAAGGTATACAAATGATCTGTAAGCACATGAGAAGATGCTTAAATCATTAGTCATTGAGGCAAGAAAAATGAAAATCACAATGAGATACCAGTTCACACTCGCGAGGATGGCAAACCTTTTTTGAAAAAGACAGGCAAGGGGCGCCTGGGTGGCTCAGCTGGTTGAGCAGCTGACTTTGGCTCAGGTCATGATCTCACGGTTTGTGAGTTCGAGCCCTGCATCTGGCTGGCTGCTGTCGGTACAGAGCCCACTTCGGATCCTATGTTCCCCCTTCTCTCTGGCTCTCTCCCACTCATGCGCTCTCTCTCTCAAAAATAAATAAAACATGAAAAAAAAAAAAAAGACAGGCAATAACAAGTACTAACGAGCATGTGGGAAAAATGGAAACTCCATTCATTGCTTGTGGTATTTAAAAATAGTGCGGTAGCTTTGGAAGTTTGGCAGTTCCTCAAAATGGTGAACATAGAGTTACCATATGACCCAGCGATGTTCCTTCCAGGTATACATCTGAGAGAATTGAAAACATACGTTTCTTTAAAAACTTGTATACAAATGTCTATAGTAGCGTTATTAACAACAGCCTCAGACAGGAAACAATACAACTGTCCCTCAAGTAATGAACAGACAAAGACGAACGTGGCACGCTCTTTCTCTTCAACAAGGCAGCTGAGCAGATGAAGAGATGCAGATCTTTGTGAAGACCCCGACAGGCAAGACCATCATCCTCAAGGTCGAGCCCAGAGATACTGCTGAGAATGTCGAAGCCAAACTCCAAGGCAAGGAGCGCATCTCCCCTGATCAGCAGCATCTGATTTTTGTGGGCAGATGGCCGGAGGATGGCTGCACGCTCAGGCGACAATACCCAGAAAAAGTCCACTTGGTACTTCGCCTGTGGTGTAGCATCATGCAACCTTCCCTCCGCCGGGTGACCCAGAAACACAACTGCGACAGGATGATCTGCCCCAAGCGTCATGGTCGCCTGCATCCTGTGCTGTCAACTGCCAGAAAAAGTGCGACCACACCACCCATACCTGTGCTCCGAGAAGATCAAATAAGGTCCCTCTACTCACTCTTCCATTGCCTGCAGGAGGCCCAAGGCCCTTGGGCTTCAGCAAAGTTCCCCTTTCATTGAAAAAAATACATAACCGTATAAGGGAATATTGCTCAACATTAAAAAGGCATGAAATACAGATGCTTGCTACAACATGGTTGAGCTTTGAAGACATGTTCAATAAACACACACACACACACACACGCACACAAAAAAGTGACAAAATGTTACACAATGAATGATCTTTTTAATTATTATTATGAAATGTCTAGAGTAGGGATATAGACTGAAAGTAGACTACTGGTTGCCAGGGGTTGGGGGCGGAGGTGGGGCAGATGCAGAGTGACTACTAATGGGAATATGGTTTCTTTTTAGGGTGATAAAAATGTCCTGAAGTTAGATGATGCTGATAATGGTACAACCCTGTAATACACTAATGCCTGATGCATTTGTACTTTAATACCATGAAATTTATAGTATGTGACTTATATCTCAATAAGGCTATTGTTAAAAAAAATGGGCAAAAGACTTTCACAGGCAGTTTCTAAAAGAGCATATCTAACTGACAGTAAGCATGGGAGATGATACTCAATATCATTAGTCATGAGAAAATTAAAATTAAAACCACAACAAAATACCACCACACACCCACTGGAATGGCTAAAATTAAAAAGATTGACAACACCCAGTTTGGCACCAACACGGACCAACTGGAACTCTCATACGTTGCTGGTGGGAGTTTAAATTGGTACAAACACTTTGGAAGACAGAATTATATACTAAAACTAAATAGATGCTTACTTTAAGATTCCCAGTAATCCTACTCCCAAGTGTATGTCCAACAGACATGAATAGAAATCTCCACAAAAAGATTCAGAGGAGGTATTTTGGGGGCTCCCGTTTACCGTCCTCTCCCTATTTCTCTCACTCCCCAGGCCCTGTCAACCACTTTCCTACTTGGTTTATATGAGTTTGACATTTTTTTTTCTTTTTTAGATTCCACACGTAAGTGATGCCATATCTGGTTTATTTCAGTTAGTATAATTGCCCTCCAGTTTTATCCATGTTGTCACAAATGACAGGATTTCTTTCTTTTTAAAAACTGAGTAATATTCCATATATATTTCAGTATCACATTTTTTCTTTCTTTCTTTCTTTTTTTTAGTTTTTTTTTTTTTATTTATTTTGAGAGAGATAGAGAACAAGCAAGGGAGGGATAGGGGGTGGGGGGATAGAATCCCAAGAAGGCTCCACGTCATCAGCACAGAGCCAGATGCAGGGCTCGAACTCACGAACCATGAGATCATGATCTGAGCCGAAATCAAGAGTCAGACACTTAACCAACTGAGCCACCCAGGCGCCCCTCAGTATCACATTTTCTTTAACCATTCATAGGTCAATGGACACTTGGGTCGTTTCCATACTTGGGCTATGTGAATAATGTTGCAGTGAACGTCAGAGTGCAGATAGCTTCCCAAGATAATGATTTTATTTCCTTTGGATATATATTCAGGAGTGGAAGTGCTGGATCATATAGTGGTTCTTTTTTTTTTTTTAATTTTTTTTTTCAACGTTTATTTATTTTTGGGACAGAGAGAGACAGAGCATGAACGGGGGAGGGGCAGAGAGAGAGGGAGACACAGAATCGGAAACAGGCTCCAGGCTCTGAGCCATCAGCCCAGAGCCCGACGCGGGGCTCGAACTCACGGACCGCGAGATGGTGACCTGGCTGAAGTCGGACGCTTAACCGACTGCGCCACCCAGGCACCCCTAGTGGTTCTTTTTTTAGTATTTTCAGGAATGTCCACACTGTTTACCATTATGGCTGTACCAGTTTACATTCCTACGAACCACGTAGGAAGGTTCCCTTTCTCCACCTCTTGCCAGCATTTATTATCTCTTGTCTTCTTGATAATAGACATTCTAACTGCTATGAGGTGATGATATCTCATTGTGGCTTTGATTTGCATTTCCCTGATTAGTGATGTCAAGCACCTTTTCATGTGTCTGTTGATATTTTGTATGTCTTCTTTGAAAGAATGTCTATTTGGGTGCTTTGCCATTTCTTCATTGGGTTGTTTGTTTTTGTTTTCTTTAAACTGTTTTTTTTTACTAACCTTTTATCAGATACGTGGTTTGCAAACATGTCCTCTCATTCCAGAGGTTACAGAAGGTTTTTAGTTTGAAGTAGTCCCGCCTGTTTATTTTACTTTTAGTTACTTTTGTTTTCGTGTCTAATCCAAAAAATGATGCTAAGACCAATGTCCAACAGCTTACCACTTATGTTTTCTTTTATAGGTTTTATAGTTTCAGGTCTTACATTCAAGTCTTGATTCCATTTTGAGTCGATTTGTGTGTATGGGGTAAGAGAGGGGCACAGTTTCATTCTTTTGATTGTCTGGTTTTCCCCAACACTGTTTATTGCCAAGACTGTCCAGAACAGCTAGATATTCTTTTCTGATTTTCTTTCCCAAAAGACAGAAATAAGAATTTATTTTGGTAAGGTCTCCTAATCTTTAAATGTTGAAACTATTTCATATGGGGCTTTAAAACCACTCTGCATGCCTAACAAAGCACATTGGCATCTTCCATTCAGATCATGGACTGCCATTTTACAGCATTTGCCTGATACTACTCTTGTCCTCCTTTGCAGGGTTAAGTAATTATAATAGATTTCTTATTTAAAATGCCTTTATAAGTAGCTACTTTACAGTAATATATAATTAGTAAAATTCAATTGTGAGAGTTTTAGTTCAGTTAAGGATGACATAAAATTAACAGATAATCCATTTGTCTGGGAGTTAATCTATTGTGGAGCAAAGTAATATTCTCTCTTTTGTGAAAAATTGTAGTAAAATATGATATATTCTTAGAAGCATTACTGGCAAGTAAAATAGGGAATAAGAAGGCATAATACGATAGGAGTGCATCGAAAATAATAGCACCCAGAGAATTAGAGAAAAGATAGACCTAATGACAGAATGTCAGCCTTGTAAAAAGCGTATAAATATATAATCTCCCGAACACAATAAAATACTAATTCTTTCCTGTTTTTACTGATTTCATCTAAAAATATGGCAGTTTTCTCTAAAGTAGCTTATGGCTTCCACGGGTGTGTGTTAATACAGCAAACGTTGGCCATTACAATATATCACACAGGTAGAATTTACCACCGGGCAAAGTGAAAAGGTTTCTTCAGGGTCATGTTTCAGGGAGGTGATTGAGCCCGGGGAAAACAGAAGTCCTCTGGGATGAGTCTGGGCTGGACTTTGACTGAGTTGGAGATTGACCAAATCTTGTAGGTGCTGAGGAAGCTGCTTTCTGACAGATGAAGAAACCATCGAAAAATAGTGAGGCTGCAAGACTGATGAATCTTATTTCTAATTAAAAGAAAGAGAGCCAATCTTTTTTGAATTTGTGCAGCAGAGGGAACACAATTGAGTGTTCCATCACTCCAACACCAATGGGTGAATATAAGTGCTCTAATTTACAGTGCTCTGTATGATTACTTATAAAAACAAAATCGCCCATTTAAATGACCGTATTAATTTCCCCGGGCTGCCTTAACAAAGTGTCACCAACTGTGGGGCTTAAACAACAGAAGTGATCATTCCATGGTTCTAGAGGCTAGAAGTCTGAACCGAAAAAATGTCACCAGGGCTGTGCTGTCTCGGAAGGCTTTGGGAAAGGCGTCTTCCTTGCTTTTTCCTAGCTTTCTGGTGGCTCCTGGCAGTCATTACTCGGTAGCTTCATCACTCCCATTTCTGTCTCTGTCTTTAGATCAACTTCTTCCCTGGGAGTGTGTCTGCAAATCTCTCTCTCTCTTTTAGGGACTCCACTCATTGGATTTAGGGCCCACCCTAATTCAATATGACCTCATCTTGGCTTGACTGCATCTGCAAAGACCCCATTTCCAAATAAGTTCACAGTCACAGGTGCACAGGGTTGGGACTTCACCATAATCCTTTGTTGGGGACACAATTCAGCTCACAGCAATGACCACAGCTTGGGAAACTGTGGAGAAGGCACACAAAAGTAAAATATAAATCTTGCCTTCAAGGAGTTTCTATTATATGAAAGATGCAACATAGACATGGCACAATTTATGTATAACCATATGCATAAAATATGGAGAGTCATCATTTCAGAGCTTGAAGAGATATTCAAGATAATCTATTCAAAGCCCTCATTTCCATGTGATGTGAAGTGGATTGGAGCTACCTTTGTTTTGTTATGATATAGGACATTTTAATTTATAAATAGGCTAAGTTTTTGATCTTTTTTTTCCTTTGACATACCCAGCAAAGTAATTCCCCAGCACAGAATTATAATATTATGAATTGATATGACTTTATGATTTTTTATTTTTTTACACTTCTATTTTTGTGTAAATCATAATACAGAATGCTCATTAATGCTCTTCTCCAAATCACCATGGTTATCTAACTTACTATAACTATATGGGCGATAAATACTACAATATTCTTCAATCTGTTTCTTTAATCCTTATTTTTCTTCCATCAATTTGTCTACTCCTGAGTCAGAATCTGATTGTTTGAATTTCTGTGGTTTTATAATATATGACAAAGTAAGCCTTTTTGGTCTTTTGCCCCCAAATATATCTTGGCTCATTTCAAATTGTTCTCCAAGTCAAGTACAATTGTAGTATCATTTTTGAAAGTTCTAAATAGATTTTGTTTGAAATTACCCATGAGATTGCATTGCATTTATAGAGTCCTGCTAAGGGATGGCAGAGCCAGAGTGAGATACAGAAGCTGTTCATATGGGGGAGGGGTGTCGCAGAGTCTGGAGTGGGCTGTCAGGGCCCAAGTAGGGTAAAGATGGAAACCATGTAGAACTGTCACTTGGCATTAGGTGTCAAAGCGTGAGTAGGACCTGTGGTACAACCACAAAGGTGGGGACAGCCTAGTGGGGGGAATCAGAAGGCCATGGCTCATGTCTACGGCATTCCTGCTAAGGATGCCTAACTTGAATTCAATCACAAAGAAACTTCAGGCAAGGCCAAGTTGAGGTACATTCTACAAAACTGGCCTATAGTCTTCTA